TGAGGACCCTGACTTTGGAAATGAACTGTGCAATTTAACAGACATTTCTGAGCTGCCTGCTGAAAGGGCTGTTTTGAAAATTGTGTGGGACCCAGATTCATCTGTGCTTAAACAGTCTGATACACAATCTGTTTCCTCTCTTGATACTGCCAGTGTGTCAACGTCTTCCTCCCAGAGCTCTTCAGCCGTCGTTCAGAGCCACATGAGAAGTACATTGGAGTGGCCGTCACCTTTTCCAATTCCTACTTTCTCGTATGATGTTGAATTGAGGCTTCGCAGAGCAAATGAGGCTTATGAACAAACAAACAAGGCTTTAAGTGTACCAAGAGAAATGAAGTCCCACATCTTGGAGAAAATTGCAGAGGCAGTATTTGTTCTTAAAGCATACCCACACACAGAGGAAATTGAAACTGTTGCTTCTGCACTTGTGTTGAAACACCCCTGCCTTACAGAGCCAGGTAAAGGCAAAGGATTTGATGGGTGGAAAATGAGCATAAAATTCAAACTTGGCAATTACAGGTCCAAACTGCGATCAGCTGGTTGCCATGAAGTTAATATCAACAGGAAAAGAGGTGGGGGAGATGGTGACGATAAGAAAATTCCTCTGAAAAAGGCCAAACGAGGAGAGGTTAATTACTTACCAGATCATCCTGGAGGCCAGTCTGATGATACTCTGGAGGAGGAAAGACTCATATTGGTGGAGGAACTAAAGAAGAGGACTAAAGATGCGATCCTCATCAGTCAGAAAATGAGCCTGACATTTTCACTTCGACGAAAAGAGATTGTGGAAGGGGTGCCAATGGTGTCTGAAGTGCTGGAACGATGGCCTGCCCTGTCTCTTCCTAATGAGGTAAAAGCAATAGTCTTAACAGGAAGTATTTAGCTGTAGTAGTCTTTATGATTGAGGTTATTTTACTGATATTTTCATGTTTGTTGAACAATTTTAAAGCTGAAACCTGTTTTTTTCTCTCATCAGATAGGTAATGAGTTTAAACGCATTACCAATGTGGACCTCCTGGATACATTCAAATCTTCGTTACACCAACATGCACCACAACTTCTGAAGTTGTACAGAGCAAGACAGGGGGCTTTTGGAAAAGAGATGGAAGATCTACTTAACAAGCTTGATCAACAGGTAACATGTTAATACACTGAACAAAAATATAAACGCAACACTTTTGTTTTTGCTCCCATTTTTCATGAGCTGAACTCAAAGATCTGAAACATTTTCCACATACACAGAAGAGCCATTACTCTCAAATATTGTTCACAAATCTGTCTAAATCTGTGTTAGTGAGCACTTCTCCTTT